GTTTTGCTTTTTTGTGTGTTTTTTTTTTTTTTTTTTTTTTGTTAGTGACAGCATAGCTGAAGAAATACAGCTGCCGCTTTTATAATGGTATTTGTGGTCATTTAATCTCTCCTTTCAGAAGGGGTAGTGAATGTTACATGTAACACTGAACTGAAGGCTCAGTTCCCCTTAAAGCTCATCCTACAATTAAAAGAGAAAATGGGCAAGATTTATCCCCAAGTGTTGACACTGACTGAAGCTTTCTTGTTTAGTCCACCTCTTTATCTCTGATATGTGTTTGTATTATGTAAAATATACCATTCAGTAGCTTTTTTGGGCTTGATCCTACAAGAGGGTTTAGATGTCTTTGAGAGTCAAGGGGAATGAAGTAGATGAAGAACCTTTAAGAGTAAGATATGGGTGCTTGGTGCTGAGAGGCACCTTCTTTCTCTGTGCTGTTCAGACTAGTTTTTAGTGCATATACATCAAGATGTGAGAGGACCGCTAAACTTTCAGTGAGAAGTTAACCCAGAAAGAGCTGTCGAGAGGTGGGCAAGACAGGAGAGTGGAGACTGCCTGCCAGATATGAACAGCACAGCCCTTTTATAAAAGCAAAGGTTAACTTTGCTGGCTATATATTTTAATAAGTATTTTTACAGTAGCGGTGTAAAGATTTTGATGTGCGTTGTTATAGCTTAATTTCCCATTAAGAGTACTGCATACTCCATTAATCTATAACAATGTTCTTGAGAAGTTTTATGGTATCTCTGCAAAATATATTTACAAGGGATGCATTCTGTGGAAGGTTCTATTTACTAAATCAAAGCTGCTGAAAGCCATTTACTGACCCTAAGCCCTAGGATGCAAATAGTCTCTTCAGTTGCAGGGCTTCTAAACTTCTAATTACGTACCTGAAAGTTATCACTATCTACAAGTTCTGTCCTGCCTCACAAATGTTTTCCCTGGTTTTCTGATTATTCTTTTTCTTTCCTGTCTGTGCCATCTTGTCTGTTTCTTTTGTTGACTTGTTCCTTCCCTTGGATTCCCTTTGCATTTTTATCTTGAGCAGAGCAAATCCAGTAGTAGAAGGCTTACAAATACTGATTCCTCCCAATGCTTCTGAAGAGGAGAGCTGCTTCTGTTGCCAGAAGCAATAGAAGCCATCTAGAGATGTTCTTTCAAGCATTGCTTTTGTTGTAGCAAGAGCAATATGAATCATAAGCTGGAATTAACTATGCTGTTGTATGTTAGTTTTATTTTATTTTTGTTACTGCTGCTGACTTGCTGTCAGGCACCTCAGACAGAAGTGTTGTCTCTTTCATAAGGGGGAGCAGAATGGAGAGCAACTGGGGAAGAACGTGACATTGGTGGTCTCGTGGCTAGTTTGTAGCCCTGTGAAGAACAGTGGCAGTACATTGGAAGATCAAGCAAGAGTTGAGGAGGGGTGCTACTGAGAGCCTTACATTCTCTCATTTATCTTCCTGATCACAGTCAGTAATTAACACCAGTCTTTATATAAATCATTCTCTAGTCCTGCTGCAAGCACTCTATTAATGCACAATTTGGACTGAGAATTTAAATGCAGAAAGGTCACACGATGTTTTGTTAAGATTCTACTGTCACAGTGAAATCTGCTGTACACAGCACTATCTACTTGCAGGCTGCTTTCTTGTGGAAACTGATGGTTTTGGAAAATATTTATTTTATATATATATATATATATATTTATATACACGTTTGTTAGATGATGCCTTTTACAATAGAACTTATTACATTGTAAATGTGTTTTAATTGTATTATACCCGTATATTGAAATGGAACTTTGTAAGCGATAGGTGAAAACTAAGAGTTTTGAAACCAGTTTTTGTAGCTGGTTTTGCAGCAGGTGTTTATGTGTTGCTGTTTGACTGCTATTTTTGTGTGTGTTGTTACAATATGGGAAGCTCAGGAAAGTACATATTGATAAAGCTATAACTGGTGATAATGCTGCGCTGCTTGGAGATTTGTCACCAGTATAGCCAGCATGCTAGCCTTTTCTTTTTTTCTTTTTTTCCCCCCATTTTCCAGGAAGAGGCAAAGAATGTCTGCTTGAGCATTAACCAGTGATTAAATGGGTGAATATTGTCTTTTAATACCAGCAGCACAGAGAGC